CTAGGCGTCGTACTTGGTACGGTGTTAGCTTGGCAGTCCGCTTTCGAGTCATTTATTGCCGCCATTAAGTCATCAGTGTTGGATGCTGGATTGATAATTCCGCCACAATTATGTGCGTTGTCGTCGGAGTTGTTGTTGGGCCTGACCCTTCCTCCGTGCGTGAATCTCTTGCTGAGTTAATGTCTCAGTACGAAATATGGAAACAGCAAACTGTTGATTGACTGTGGGACTGAAAACCGTAACTAGGGCTCGCTGCTCACACGGTTGTCACCTCTTGTGAGGATTTCGGCATCGTTAAAGTTGAAAATATGGCCGTTGTCGGCTCCGTCACCGCTGTAATTACGATCCCCAACGGTCGTACCAGGAGCTCATAGTTATAGTACACAGTCTGTGTATGTGTCACCCCATTCTCCCTTTACATCTGATGAAGTGTTGTCGATGGAATACAAAACGTCAGCCAAATATCCTTCTTGTTCCAGTGATATAAAATTCTACTTATAAAGAGTTTAAGTACTAGAGGCATATACTTATAAAAGATGACAAGATTTAGGCGAAGTGCACTGCCTATGATGATAATTTCGGACAGCAGGCTGAGAAATTTCTGTGGTGTCACTTTCATAAGCAATATACTAATGCGGACTAGATGGCTTGGTAGGCGGGGTTTACCTCGATGGCTCTGTTAAGTGTGCCAATCGACGACCAGCCTATGAGCACCAGTCTGGCCATCTTATAAGGCGCCCTGCCAGTCATCCTTGCCTTCCCAAAGGCGAAGACGTGGTTTCGCTGCTGCACGTTGCCGTAGACCACAGAAAGCTCGCCTTGCGGTTGATTACGAGCTGGTCTTAATGCAACCTCGTGCTGACATGTTTGCCAGTTTCACCGATATTCCTTGCTTTGCAATCTCGGCAAGGGATGCTGTAGACTATTGCCGATTGTTCGGTCACTGGTATTGGATCCTTGGGCTTTAAAACCCGCTTTCTAATAGCTAGTGCCAGTTTGTGAGCCACGCCAATCCCGAACGGTTTCAGCAGTCTTGCAGTCGCCAATACGACATTCATCACATAGGAATTGTAAGCCAGAACTTCGGTTTCTCCTTGATCGACACCTCATAGCGGGACTTCCTAAGAAACCTGTGCACGAGGGACTTAGGGAAACCGTTAGCGACAAATAGGGCATTTAGGTACTTCCTTTCCTCCTTCCTCCCGTCACTGCAATGTGTTTGAGCGCGTCGGATGAGAGTCCTGACGCAACTGTGTTTTGACGGACGGGGTTCTTACTTCTGTAGTGAAGGAGGTGCGTAGTGTTGGTCGCCTGACGGTAAACCGTCTTTATCTTCGCGTCTGTCGGTCTTGTGACTAAACCATCGAGGGAGGGAAATTAATTACTGATCAAACGCAAGAACGTGCTTTCTATGGCCTATGGCCACGTGCAACAGCGGAACCACGTGTTCACCTTTGGGAAGGCAAGGGTGATCGGCAGGGTCAATTATAAGATGGCCAGACTGGTACTACAAAGCTGTTCTTCCACTGGCACACTGAGCAGAGCCATCGAGTCGAAACGGGGATGCTGGTAGCCGAGAGAGGTAATAACCTGCGGGCTGCTGGATTACTGGCTTTCAACCATGGTTATAGCAGCGACGCTGCCGTAACCTTCGGGAATGAGCCCAAAAGAGTACGAGAACACATTCCAGCATGGCTAGGAAAGGGCTACGCCGACGGGTCTTGTGCGCCCAAAAGAACTTCGTCACAGCGCCGGAGTTACCATGGCCAAAAGGCGTTAATCCAACAGTCTGAAGCTTATCATCTCTCACCCCTAGCGCTGATCGGATTTTTAAACCAGATTCATTTCCCCACCTTCCCGGAGAACCGCGCTATTTTTCCACTAGCCCGCATAGTTAATTTAGTTAATTACTATATAAATGTAAAGGCCTGACAACAATAAATTATGTTTAATACAATAAAAGTATAAAAATTCAAATTTTAATGATTAAAATAAATTTAAAACCAAAAACCTCAGTAAAACAACATTTTGCATATTGTAAGATTAATAAAGCAGTTTACATGCACAGCGGGTTACCTCCCATAGCCATAAAGTAATTAACCAAACTATACCAGTCCTTTGAGGCTTATAGAGCCTATCCTGATCCACCTGAACCTGACACATTTGACCGAATGATTTTTCACTTCTATGCCAGAGGCTTCTTACTTCTGACACGGGAGATCCCGCTATACCGGTTTTCTCTTCGAGCAGCCAATGCGTCTGGAATCTGGCTCAGGAAACTCGAGCTCAGGTTATTCGCCTCACTTTCACTGAATTCGATCTCATTGCGGAAGAGGTGAGTTCTGTTTGTCTGTTTCGTTGCCTTATTCGTATGCTGATGTATGCAGTCTATGTTCTGTGCTCGAATCATCATTGCATGCAGTTGTAAGCACATTTGACAGTGAGTTTGCTGAGAACAGAAATTTGGCAGAGTATTCGGTTGCAAACAAACGACTGTGAGTCAGATTAGCCGTTTTATTTATTTATTTTTCAAATATTCCCTGCACAAATACAGAAGACGTGAGTGTTGAAAATGTCAAAAGTTGACGTGGATCATTCTCGTAAGTGGTTGCGTATTTTGATCAAATCTGACGAAATGTGAGTTTCATGTCGCACTTTATATACCGCACTCCCCCCGCCCGGCCTGATGTTCGTGTTACTAAGAGTAGCGGTGGGGGTTATTTGCTTAGGCTTTAAAATGTTTTAAATTATCGCAGGAGGCTAAGTGAATTAAACCCAGGCGACTGCGATCTTTAGATCATGGTTACTTAGTAAAGGAGAGAAGTCTTGGGTATTCATGAGTGTTAGGAAGAGTATATTGTGTACACAGGATAGGAGAATATATAGAAGAAGTCTGCATTAGGAGAGACCACGACCACACAGAAGATTGGCCGAGTCCCAAGTCCCACTTTGAGAGAAGTCAGGCCAGTAGACAGAGAGGGTGAGCGCGTTTATTGGCTAGGTCAGCCTGTGATTGGCTGGAGAGCGTGTGGGTTGTCCATGTTTCGCGGGCCAGTAAGTCTGGCGGCCGTCATGACCTTGAGGTCTAGACAGATTGAGGTCAGGACAGGAAGGCCAGGCACCGGGCAGGCAAAAACCCATTACAAGTCCAAGGAAGTAATTTAAAAGAAGATGACTCGATCGTTAGGGCAATACTTTTATTCGCCTGAAGTTTCGATATTCGTCACGGATTCATCATCAGAAACATAATTATAGCGCAGTAGCACATAAAGGTGGAAAGTGCACAGGAGTCTTGCCGTGTATGACAGTTAAAATGCAAATATGTGCAAAAAATGATAACTGTTTGGTGTGAATGCTGATTCGCTACTTAAGGCGTAGAATGACTTGGGGCCTGTCCGTTCCCTAAATGGCGATTTGCCTCGGCCATATTTAGTATCAGTACTAAATATGGACTGGCAAGTCCTTCCACTTGTTGATTGAATGGGAGCCTGTAAACCATGACTCAAAATATTCTTGGCTCACCCGGTTGTCACCTCCGGCGAGAATTTCGGCCTCATCAAATTTGAATGTGTGGCCGTGTCTCATCCAATGAGCTGCAACTTGCGAATTGGCATCATTTCGCCGCACTGCTGCCGCGTTTTCGGCAATCCGCATCTTGAAAAGTCTGCCAGTTTCTCCGACATAGTTGCTTTGCCCGCAGTTGTAGCAGATACTGTAGGCGACTCCTGATGTTTCTTGCCGTGGCATTGGGTTTTTCGGTTTCATGATTTGACGCCTTATGTTTGTCTGCGGCCTGTGTGCGACTCCAACTCCAAGTGTTTCGACGGGCATCGAAACGTCAGGCGAATAAACGTATTGTCCCAGCAATCGAGCAATCTTCTTCTCAACTATTTCTTTTTATTTTTAGAGTGTAACGTGGGCGGCTGCTGACTAAAACATCAGTCGTCAGTCATATTGACGTATTTGGAAAAACGCCTTCTGACATTGGTTACACAATAAACAGGTTCATGTCTGATAGTACACATTTGTGGGATACGATGTAGTCCGGCCAGATAATAGACGATAGAACGTATCCCAACTGTTATAAGCTAGTAGATATGATAAGGCGTGGAAGGCCAGAGTGTTATGGATAATTTAATGAAGTGTTGAATTAGTAGAATATAAGTAATGAGTAAGTGACTCCCAAACGAATGCAGTCCAGCCATGAGTGGGTCAGAGTCCAGAGTCGCATTCGGGTCGGTGAAGTCGCCGGGTCTGGTGGTGCGCAACAGGCAGTAGGCCGGCTGCTGCGGGAGTGCTTGCTCATAAACATCTCCCCGCACCATGGGCCTTTTTGGACTGCCCTTGAGAAGTGTTTGGCCAGTGAGCCAGACAGAGGGTAAACTTGAACAGCGGGCTTTAGTATCGTCTCTTGCGCATGCGTGGTGGTCATGCCAGATATGACCTTTCCCCGCGGCGTCCGCAGAAAGCATAGCTAAGAAGTACATTCACAAGGATTCCCGAGTGGGAGAACGTGAAAGGATATGCAGACTTGCTGCTAAATTACGCCCTGCTTCCCTTGTCTGTTACAAGAGAGAGGGAGAATGCTTCATTTTTAAGGTAATATCCAAACCTCTTACGAATAAGTGATTCCATTCACGGAGAGCGAAGGATAGATTAAGGTAAGCAGTTGTGGTAAAATGCCATAGAATACTCAAAGTTAAATGTTTAAACGATATCCGCAGGTGCTATGGAGACAGGTCGCCTTTCAATTTCTCAAATTCCGTTTCTTCACACGTGAGGAAGCGCGCTACGATTTGGATAAGAGGGTGCTGATATGCCGATGTACGGTAAGGTATATGACAGAAGCCTCGGCAAATATTACGGTAACATTTTGTAGCCATTAGTTCAGAGTGGAGAGGGTGAGCGACCTCACTAAGGACGTACTCAGAAAATTGCTCGGCCGTTCTGAAGTGCCGCTGCTTAATTATGTCAGCTAAAAAAGTAGCCGAAGGAAGCATTCGGAAAATACGTTTAAATATGTCCAGGCAGTTTTTAAAGTCAACATGGAAAAATAACTGAAAAACAATAAAGAATGAGAAAGAGAATACAAAAATTTATAAATCGTCAGATTAGGGCTTGCGGTGTGCGATATGAACGCAAGCGGCGGATATTCTATCAAAGTTTACGAATTTTAATAAAAAGGCCGTCTTTATGAAGGCTGAGTAAGAAATTAGATGCCGAGGTTATTCCAAGACCCATGAAAGAGGATAGCTCGTTTTGGAGAATTTCAGTGGTTTCAGGTCTGGTAGAGCGTGGCAGTCGAAAGACTTAGAACAGGTAAGGATATAATATAGACCCTTGGAACAAAGGTGCTTGGAATTAGGAAATACCGTTTGTCGGAGGATAGGATACGGTAGGAGTGTGGATGAAAGTTGCATTTAAACAGCGTTTAATGTATAAGTCAGCGTTGACATGTGCCAATTTTTTGCGTACGCCTGTGAGACTCATTCAACTTTCATGCGAGGATTAAAGAGAAAATGATGCGGAAGGAGGAAAGGGTTGAGTAACGAAAAAAGGTTGTTCAGTCTGGAAATGTCAAGTTTTATTAGGATGTAATCCTTCTTTTGTCTTTCAAATAGACCTAGTTTGTAGAGCATTCCTTTTTTGGCATCTCAACGTTTTTAGATAGGGAGAAAAAATTATTCGGAGTTAACCACAACAGTCTCAAGAGGACAGCAAATGGTAAAGATTTCGTTCAAGAATGTGTAAGGTAACTAAAAAACACGACTCGACATTCGAGTGTTCAAGAAGGACAGAAAGATGCTCACATATGGCAGTTTGAAGCAAGCAAATATTATATGGGGACGCGTCGCAAACCTTACGTTTCTTCTCGAGTTTTGCTAACAGCCCTTTCTTACAAATCAAATAGATGTTTGGCAGGCCCAATAACACAGAATAGTCTGAGACTGACTAAATAGCTCTATTTTTAACGACAAAAACCTTGGGATAGTTCGTGAATATGTGATCACGATGGGTGACCGCATGAGTGTTGAGGGAAACTAAGTCGTCAAAACCTAGCAATGTAAGGGTGCATATGCTCACGCGGTTGAAGTCACTGCATAAAGCAATAAAATACTCGCAAGACAGGTTGGCAATTTTAGGGGGGAGCCAATAAAAAACGAATTACAGTACCTTGGCATATAGAGGAGCGAATATAAATACTTAAATAAAATATGCCTTTCGAATTCTAGGCTCTTAGACATTACTACAATGACATATATTAGGTCCGCCAAAAAAAAATAACGACTTACAATCTGTTCACTATTGCTGGTTTAGAAAAGCAGCCTCTTCACCACCTCTACTGCTGGATAGGAATTTTCTGTCCGTAAGAAAACAACAATTAGTCGATGGTGTCATTATTTGCTACTGAACACCACTATTAAGCCAATTCTTTTGAAGACAGATAACTGCAGACTTACTGTGTTATTTTTTCATCATAAATGATGCTAATTCGACGCCCTTGTAGAAAATAGAGCGTTATTTTGTCAACAAAAACCCCGAGGGAGAGATTGAGATCATTGGTTGACGATTCCTAGCCCGTTTCCATCCGCGACTAGCATTTTTTCGTCGTAAGTTGTTCCTATGGAGAACTTTTGGCTTAGCTGAATTTCTAATGCGGCGAATCGGATTAAAAATGAAAAAAAAACTGTCATCAGGAATTGTCATCAACACACTTTTTGGTTGCAGTTTACGCCAAAAGGTACTAGTCTACTGTAGAAATTACCTCGTGACCCCTTACTGCAGACAGAAAAGCAAAAGGGTATACAATAGTCAATTCCCACGTGAATGGAGAACAAAAAAGCCCGGCAGCTCGAATTCAAAAGCCATCCATCAGACAGCTTTTGGTCTACCTTTTCCATCTTCCTTTTCGTAAAAACCAGCATAAATTTGCAGTTGGCCTACCCTTATGAGCTCTATTCTTATCCCTTTTTGCTCTCGGACTTTCAGAACTGCAAAGATAACTCTGTCACGGTTATCCGCCGCCTTGAAACCTATCGGACGATTCCAAAGATCTTCTGTGGCAATCAACTGCCCCCAACCATCGTTTCTTTTGACGAGCTGACTCTTGTATTTGATGTTGGCAGCTCTACGCAGCCAACCCACTTTCGAGCCAACTACCGGTTTGAAGACAACGAATGTGCTAAGAATAATGGCGGCTGCCACCACATATGTTACAAAATGCCAGGCTCGTTCACCTGCAAGTGTAGAGGAGGCTATGAGCTCTATGCAGAGTCCAAATGCAGAAGACGTAAGTGACTGTGTGGCGGGATTACCTCCAGGCAGGATGACTGTTTTCGCTGTCAATACTAAAAGGGCAATGTCTGCGACCGTTTTGCTCTCTCTGTGTGCGAATTTTTCTGTATCAAGAACAGCCGCCGTCACAAGTCCTTAAACGAACGAACTACCTGGGCAGATTAAGCCTTCTGTAAGGAGCGGCCTGCAAATGTTTTGGTAATTGGTGGGGGGACGGAGAATCTGCGGATTTTTTAACAGTCACTTCTGCTTTCTGTCTGAATTTCCTTCGCCAGTCTAATGGAAAAACTAGGTATGGCACACCCTTAACAACGCATGACTCGGCAGCATTTCACTCTCTCGTTTATAAAATGTGGCCTTGCTAGATCCCTTCCAGGATCAGGCATATTCGAATGTCTGCTCGATTGAAGGCTGTTCTATGGTTTCCTTGTTGTCATTCAGTATGCACGCAACCTTCCGAGCATCTTCTGGTAACGCTGCAGAGTTTTATTATGAAAGCATCTACTTATTTTACCTGCGTGGGCGTTATTTATTGTGCTGCTGACAGAGCGGTTGGCGTGAGGTCGCGGATGGATGGAGGCTTTTCCATTTGTTCTTGCTTGCAATTACGTGTAGGACCCTTCACCAAGTCTATTTTGTTCCGAAAGCACTTTCGTATGCACATATCTAAGACAGCCGCGTACCGTCGTGTTCTCGATGTCCATGCATACGAAGCAATCTTTGGACTATGGTTGGGCGTTCGAACACATCGTATGTTGGCGCATTCCACGGTCCCTTACCTCCTTAACACTTACCACGTTTGGCTTAGGATTCAGCGGCGTCTGAAGACGGCGATCGGAAGCGTTTTACCGCGAATAAATTGCACGCAGTCTTCTCCAGTTCCCCTCTCATTCGCTTGGGCATGTCGCCCCCACACAATCTGGTGAGTGCTATTCACTCAGTGTAAGTGAAAGTAATCTGCACTTCGCGTACTCGACCCATGACCAATGCGCACACCCTTTTTCTATTTTGCCTCCTTCCCCAGTGCAAACGCCTCTCCATGCCGACATGGTCATGCAAGTAGTGTGAAGGCGATGAGTTTATACATTAGAAATTTCAGAAACGGTTTATCTTACAGCCAAACTGAGGTTAACCATGCGTGACACTGAAGACAGCACTAATTTTTATTGCCAATACAAGCGAACATGCGAGTCCCAGGAGGTAATTGAGATAAAGTCGATTCGATCGCTGGGACCATACTTTTATTCGCCTGACGTTTCGAGGTCCGTCGCGGATTCATCATCAGAGACATAGTCAGAGAGAAATAGCACATAGGGCTGCACATACGTAGGGGTTTGAGGCATTTATAGGAAACAGTAATTACTGCACGCATACGTCGACAATTAACCCTAATTACCTTCTTGAGTGTTGGGGGTCTGTTGAACGGCATGTGGGCCCTGACTTGCTGACATTTTTTATCACGCGTGGTGGACTAGAGCTCGATGATCGCCCGATCATCCGGTCCTCTAGTACTGGTATAGAATGAGGCGGTGGCCTCTCCATTCCCGAAGCGGTGACTTGCTTTGGCCAAATTGAGTTTCAGCAGCAAATATGGATTGGGCAAATCGTTGCACTTATTGAGGTATTGGGGGCCCGTGAACCATGACTAAGTAATTATCGGCTCACCCGATTGTCACCTCTTGCAAACAGTTCAGCCCCATCAAATCCGAATGTGCGGCCGGGTC